CCAGGAATCATTCTTATAAAAATAGTATGCTTATGTCTGAAAAGGAATTTACATGGGTGTTGAAAACTCACAATTGTTCTCTATATCAGAAAAAAAAATAGTTTCCTAGTAAGATTTATATTGTTTGTTTGTTTAGTATCCTATGACTATCATTGTTGTATCTTACGATGAATGTATTCTTATGATGACTTAATCATAATTTATTACTTATGACTTTTATGTACACTGAGAGCTTATGCACCGAAGACAAATTCCTTGTATGTCCAATCACACTTGGCCAATAAAGAATTCTATTCTATTCTAAAAAAATTCATAGTTCTGCACAGCTTCATCCAATCTGTGTGTCCTCCCAATGTACGAACCAATTTCCAGGATTCTCAACCATCTAGTCATTGATGAGAATTCTGGAAATTGAAATAACTCCTAGAGAGTGCATTCAGTTGGGACTACTTATCCAGTAATTTGCTTGAAATCTGCTCTTCTATGTGTAACAATTTGCCATTTAGTTTAAATTAGTATAGCCAAGGCACAGGCAAAAGAAGTACATTATTGTACTTCAGCCTGTTAAAGGGTGCTATTTCTTGCCGTTTTAGATATATATTAAGTCCATTTCACTTTTTATTTAAAAGCACTGTGACATTTCCTTGCAATATTAGCCTAGAATATGCTTCTGACTGAGATGATGGACTGAAATTGGCAGCTGAACTGTATTTCTATGCAGATAATAGGAAACATCCTCCATTATACTTGAAAGAGCAGGAATTAGAGCAGAAGTTAAATGGCACATAACCCTTCACTAGTTTCCATCACTCTTCATCCCACAGTATCTGAACCTTGAAATCGGTACGTCTCTCTGCCTTACAGGAGAAATGGCCCTTCTACATTTTGCATTATGGACCAATCAGCTATCAATAAAATAAAATAAAAATAACTCTCCCAGGGGTGACTGCAGTGGAGAAGTTAAAAAAGATGTTGCCCAAGACCATGCAATCAAAGCTCCTTCCCCTCTTTTATCTGCATGGCACACCTTTTTTTTAATGGACTTTTACATTCAATCACACAACTGAAGGCTCCATATTGGATTTTTTTTTTTTACTTCCTCTACAAATGTCCCTTACTGCATCTCTTACATAATGTAAATGGAATTCCAACCAAAACGGAAAAAGGCAGGAACTTAAAGAATTTTTGGAACTGAAGTTCTGATCTTCCTAGTATTTTAGTGTTTTCTGTCTCTCCTCTTTAAATTTAATGAAAGAAGTTATAATACTAATGTAAGAAATGAAACTGTTTTGTTTTTTAATAAAGGAATGAATTTTAACAACTAATAGAAGCTTGACTTTGATCAATACTCACCCCTCCCATCTTAAGTGATTTTTCCTATAGAACCTTTCTAAAATGTAGTGTCCTCAATGTTTCCATCATCCCCAACCACCCATCAAGGCTATTACATTATTTTGATGTTTGCATTCACTTATGTGGAGGAAAAATAAACAGAAACTTATTCATTAGATGGGATATTTGTGGAGTATATCTGAATTTTCAACCACTGAAACAAATTTGACTGCTTTAGTTAGCATAAATCAATGTCTGCTGCTCATTCAAGAGTGACATAGCTGAAAGCAGAAAAGAGGTCAACTTTTCAAAGAGAGAGACAGTCAGTCCTGAATACAATAGCTGTATAATACAGGTATACAGACAAAACTCTAATCTTCTTTAAAGCTCTCCTTGATTTATAAATCAAACTATTTTATAGCAGCTATAATATGTTCCTTTTTCCAAAAACCTGAGTTAAAACATAGTTAAATCATCTTTCTTTGAGAATAAAAGCCTAAGAAGATATAGGCAATAAAAAATGAATCTAGAAATGATTTAGCTAATATGTTAGAAATTTATCTGGAAGAATTTATCTAATAGAGAAAGAATTCACATTTATTGCTGTTTCATATGGAAATAGCTACATTAAAGACAATTGAAAGTTCAAAAACTGAAAACTGAAAAGTTCAGACTAAGAGAATAAATATTGTTTAAGGAATGACAAGAGAAAAATGGTTTATTATAAACAGTAAGAATTGTGTTACTAGGTCAGTATGTTAGGTCTCATCTAGCATTCTCTTTCCACAATGGCAATACTTCAGGAAACTTACAAATCATAGGAAAGTGTTATGCTAATTGTATCTTCTAGCTCACATCCCACAACATCTAGTACTATCCCAAAGCATAGTCCCCCAGATACTCAAACTAATTATATAACCAAAGAGATTTAGAACAATGATTTAGAAATAATAATGGCAACTATTGTCATTCCTCTTTTTTTGAGGGCACAATGAGGTTAGTTAAAGGTTAATGACCTTTGCTTGCATATTTTCTCTCTAAAACCTAGCAGGGGACAGGACTCTTCTGTGGTTTCTTGTCAATCCATACTATTTGAAGAACTTTATTATCTTGGGCTGGTGGAATAACAGAAGGGAAGTATAAAGGGGGTCTATTCCAATCTCTGCAATGTGCAGAAAAACCAGTTAAAATGATTGCCAAGCCTCTTCCTAAAAAAAAACCTTAAGAAACTGACATATCACAACCAGGGAGGCTAGACATTTCTACTAGTATCACCATCAAGAAATTTTTAGTTTTATTTAAGGGAAATCTGGTAGTTGCAATATATACCCATTATTTCTGGTCCTAGTTTCCATGGCAATGAAATCTAGCTCCAGAATTCCTTCTCTATAGCACCTTTTTATGTACCTGAAAACTGATATTGTATCGCCCCTTAGTTTTCTTTTCTCCAGACTGAAAATTCAAACTCCTTCACTTTATTCTGACAAAATAGCTTGTCGACTCACTGTACCTTCTGAAAACATGGTGCCCATAATTACATATGGGCTACAGGTATGGACATGAGAGTTAAAAGAATTTTTTACAAAAATAAAAAACCGAAATTCAATTTCAATTAATTTGTTAATATTTCATCATCTAACAGATAATCAGTTGTCACTGAGAAATAAAAGTTTGCTTTAATAATATAACCCTCAATAGATCAAATAGTTTGGAAGAGGTTTCTTTATTAAATATACCGAGAGGCCCAAAGAGAACAGTTAACTTCACCATGAAAATTAAGATAAGAATTGCAAATGAGAAACATTATTTAACTTCTACACTTATATTCTTCCTATATATCCAGAACAGTATTCAATACAGGGGTCTCCAACCTTGGCAACTTTAAGCCTGGTGGACTCCAACTCTCAGAATTCCCCAGCCAGCTTTTCTGGCTGCAGAATTCTGGGAGTTGAAGTCCACCAGGCTTAACGTTGCCAAGGTTGGAGACCCTGGAATAGAATAATAAAGAACCATCAATAAAACCAAATCTTTTTACAGATTGTACGTATAGATGTTTTAAAAAGTTTACTTGGAAAAAAAGGAAACTGAAAGGCAATCTGAAACAACAACTGGTTATTATTATTTTATAGATGACTGAGTGATGAGGATGTATCTTCTAAAGAAAGGTAGCACCTTTCTTTATGAACCAGCCATTGAGAAAGTCCTGGTAGCGCCACCACAAAGTCAACCAGATCAAAAGTGGGGCCATGGGCAGTCATTCTAGATTTGAGTGTAAGAACTGAATTGTACCAGGTGATTTAATTATCTTGGCCATTTCAAACATTGTCATATAACAAGTAAGCATTTTACTGTTAATAGTGAAGCAGTTTATATTTAGAAAAAAAATGGCTTTTAACAAATGAATTGATACAAGTGCTAATTTCCTATATCATTTAACTAAAATCCACATCTTCTGTGGCTTTTGGTACACCAAGTTTTTTTTGTTACATAAGATTATATAAGCACTGGATTTTTGTTTTAGAATAAAACATAAAGACATAAGAATCCTCACAGTAATCTTTGCCAATTTCAAAAATGAGCAGTTTTAGCAGGCATTTCTATCATGTCACACAGTGATTTTGTACTTTTCTTTTTATACCTACAAAAAAGCATCACCAAAGATTGCAGGTTGAGGAACTCCAAACCCTGTTTCCCAACAGATTTCAGAGAAAGCAAAGAAACTTTCCAGAGGCTATTTTAGTACATCCCACTAACAACTGGCAGGGTCCATGAAGATTGAGCTACATTACTGACACCAAGAAAAGGGGCATTTAAAGGGAAAATGTAGAAAAATATCTGAAAGAGCAAACTTGTCCAAATCTATACCCTCATGATGGGTTATACTACAATAATACTCTGTCATGGCTCCATTGTGGCTCATGGGATTTGTAGTTCAAAACATCGGGATGCAACCAGGTTAGGGAAAACCATTTTTTTTCCTTTCAGAAATGGCCTCTTACCCCAAATACAGTACTGAATACAAAACCTAGCAGACACTTAGCTTATTTTCCTATTCAGAACAAAATACGCAATATGCCTGCCTTTTTAAAAATTGTAATGCATCAGCGTGCTGAAATCAAGGGGCTCCTCCCGCACTGCACACATCGGGGAAAGGTAAATCTTTCAAGAGGAAACAATTGAGGAGGGAGGAGGAAGGCAGCGCTTATCGCCGTAGCATCGCAGCTGCTCTGCTGCTACAGGGGGAGAATCCGACACTTTGGCACAGAAAGCCAGCCAAAGGTGAAAATGAAGCCCCCGTGCGGGCAGGGGGAGGAGAGCGAGCCCCAGAGCAACAAAGCGGAAAAAGGTTTCGAAAGCACAAAGCCCAACTCCGGTAACAAAAGCCCCCAGGCTGCTCCTTAGCCAGGCGCTCCGCCGGCGCCGCTCCAGCAGCTTCCCTCGGCGGCGCTGGTGGCAATAGCGGGCGCCGCCCCCTTTCCGGGCAAGAACCGAGGGTGGGTCGGACGGTTTTGTTCTTTGCAGCCAGCCGCTGCAGCCCCTCCCGAATCCCCGCACAATACTCTCCATTTTCGGAGACCCTGCCCGAAGGGGGCGGCTGCGTTTCGCCGCCGCCCCACACAAAAGCGTGTCCGCGGCCCCTGCCCCACTTGCCTCCCGTCCTCACCGACCTTGAGCTGCATCGGGCGCCGCCAAGGTTTTGGTCACCGCCTTCCACACGTTGCAGCCCAGTAGGCAGAGGAGAAGTGCCGCCGCCGCCGCCGCCCTACTCATTTTCCCCCTGCCGTGGCAACCGCGGCCGCTGCCGCCGGGAAAGGAAGAGGAGGCGGGGAGGGAGGGGACCGTCGGAGCCGCTGCCCAAGAGGAGGTAGGAGGAGGTGTGAATAGAACGCATCAAAAACTGGCTTCCTCCGCGTGGCCCACCGTGATGCCCCTTGCCCATGCCGGAGGCTGCCGCTTCCGCTGGAGAGGCCGCATTGTCACCTTCGCGCTGAGCGCCGGCACCGCTGCGCGGGCCTCGGTTGCAGCACGACGGCTGAGGGGGCTGCAAGGGGAAGCGAACAGCGGGTGGCTCTCCCTAAAGAGGCAGCGAGGCTCCTCCACCATCCTCAGTTTGCTTAACCCCTTCCTTTCTCCCTTGTACAGCTCTCCTCAATTCAGACAAGACGAGCCAGCCAGAACCTCGGAGCTCCCCCTGCTGACTAGCTCGGGGGTCGTTTTCACCATCGCGCCCCAAAAGCCGAGTCCTTGGAGTGAGATTGAGTTAGTACTGCAGGAGTTAAGATGCTGATCTATTTAAGAACATACAACTTACCTATAATACCGTGCAAACAAAACCACTTTATTTTGGTGTGTCTTCGAGTTAGTCTTAATCCTGGAGACTGCCTGGACAAGACCCTGCGATTTTGGGGTTGGAATTTCAGAAACAGTTGGCCATTTCTTGCTTCCTACAACTGAGACAAAGTGATTGGCCCAAGGTGAACACGAAACGAAAATGGGACTACATCTGGTTTCCACCCCAGTGTTTTAACCCTTTACAAAAACAAACTGGCTATTCGAAGCACCTAGATTACCAGAACAAATTTCTGGGGAAGATTCATTGGACAGCCTATCAACAGTTAATGTTGCAATATTATCCTGGGACAGGTATATTTGGCTTCATTTATATTTCTATCATGTAAAATGCCAACTTTTTTTCAGACAGATTTCAGCATTTACACTCTGAAGATATTATGCAATCATTTTTATGTTATATGTATATATTTTTTTAAACTTATTGTTAATGGCAATAGCACTTAGACTTACATACCACTTCATAGTGCTTTGCAGCCCTCTCTAAGCGGTTTACCCCCAACAATCTGGGCCTTCATTTTACTCACCTCGGAAGGATGGAAGGCTGAATTAACTTTGAGCCTGGTGAGATTTGAACTGCCAAATTACAGGCAGCCGGCAGTTAGTAGAAGTAGCCTGCAGTACTGTACTCTAACCACTGTGCTACCAGAGCTCATATCATAATATCACCAATCTGTTTCAATCAATTGTTCACAGCAACAGTTTACAATATTAGTAGAAAGCAAGGTGTAAATATTTTCATAAAAATTAAACATGCATTCCATAGGTCGCTGACATCATACATGACATTTTTGCCATTAGCTGTGAATGAGAGATTTGATTCATATTTAACAAAGTCAACATTTCCTGCACCAGTATACACATCTGCAAATCTCTACTTTTGAGATACAGAATATAAAGATAACAATGGATGAGGTTGTGTATTGGGTGAGCATGAAAATAATGTGCAACTTCTCCTTGCACACACATTTGGATGGAAACATTCTAAACTGGCATGTAAATGGAAAGAAATAAATTTGAAAAAAATGAAAAGCTGGGCAAAATAAAAATTATTAATTTCTACCTAAAACTATTCCCAATATAGATTATATTTTAACAGTTTCACTTTTTCTCCCTCCCTCTCTTCTTTGCCCTCCCTGCACTTGACTCCAGAACAACTTTGAACAGATGTTCAAAGAACAGCTTAAAATAGAAAAACAAAAGATCCTCAAGCTGCAAATCAACTAAGGGTCCCATCAGCACCCTATCCTTAACAAGACCAAGGAGAACAAGGCCTAGTTTTTAGAGGCTTCCAGGACAGCACCATGTGTTACAATATGTGAACTGCCCATAGTCAGTTTGGAAGTTGAGCTAGTGTCCCCATGGAATAAGTATCAGTGAATAAGTGTGGGGAACTCCGTGGATTTCCGGGACAAAATCGTTCCTGTTCAGCACTAATCTCATTTTGAGTTCCCATCATCCTTGACAAGCCAGTTGTATGGGCAAGAGTTTCTTACAGCTACTGTTAAGTATCCCTCCTTTAGTATATTTTTTATTGTTAAAATTGTTTTTAGAAAGGAGCTCGCAATCTTTGCATGGATATATCCTGCATCTGCTCCTATACTGCAGCAACCATACTAATTACTATATGGTTCTATTTTTTGTTTCCATAAATTAATACTTTTTCTTTCACATTTTCCTCTTTTTCTTTGCCTCATGAAACAAAATGGCAAGGAAGTCGCCCCCCCCTTCAAAAAAAGCTTATTTCTTAGGAAAAGGTCACATAAACAATATTTCAGTGCCTGGAAGTTGAGTCATAGCAACTGGACTTATTTTCTTGTTGGTTTGAAATGTTTCACCGCTCATCCAAGAAGCTTCTTCAGTTTGAGCAAGTTGGTTAAGGGAACCTGGGTAGGCAGAGAGCCGTTGGAATGTACCAACTTCTACAAATTGAATGGTAGGTGATTCCTGTAATCTATTTTCATGCTGTCTTTTCATATTCTTACCCAACCTCAGGGTTTCTTCCCTAAAGTGCATGTTGATGAAGATTCTCATTCATCCAGGCAGAATTGTCTGAACACTGAGTCATGGCAACTGTACTTATTTTCTTTTTGGTTTGAGATGTTTCACCGCTCATCCCAGCAGCTTCTTCAGTCTGACCAAGTTTGGTAGGGGAATTTCAGGCAGAGAGTAGTTGGAATGTACCAAGTCCTAAAAATGCCAGAGAATCTTCATTGATATATTGTCATGCATTTTGTGGAAGAAACCCTGAAGTTGGTGAGGGAATATGAAAATAGCAAGAAAAGTGGCAGACTACAGAATCACCTATCATTCAATTTTTAGAACTTGATACATTCCAACGACTACCTACTCAGATTCCCTTAACCAACTTGCTCAGATAGAAGAAGCTGCTTGGATGAGTGGTGAAATGTCTCAAACCAACAAGAAAATAAGTCCAGTTGCCTATAACTCAACTTTCTAACTGGAAAATTCTACCTGGATGAATGAGAATCTTCACTGAAATATTTCACTGCAATTTCTTTTTCTAAATTTTAATAGAAAAGTAGATAGCTGGAAGAAGTACCTAGGAATGTTAGAATTGCAATAACATGGTAGGGACAGCAATGATTAGAAAGGTAGCATCAAGAATTGTTCTGTCCTCACTACATATTAGTCTGTGTGCAGCTTGACATGTAGTTAAAAACCCACTTATCCTCCAATAAAACAAGACCGTGTGCGTAGATCCGAATGCTTTATTGAAAAAACCGGTATGGTGAAAGTGGGGAAAAAGGGGATAGATACAATGAGAACCAAATGCAAGATAGACAGTATTAAGTTACTGCTCAAACAAATATTAATAAATACAAGTAATTTAAAACTCAGCAGTGATGCTCTATGTGTGGGATGTGGGTTTGTCCTTGGATGACCATGTGCCACAGATTAAAATGGATTCTTTGTGCTTTTGCCTTTTCCAAATGCTAAAGGAAATTCAGTCTGGCTTCCCAACATGCATTTGTTTTGAGAGTGCGGCCTGATGAGTAAAGAGGTGAGGTCAGCTTCAAACAATATACAGTGGAACCTCAGGTGACAACCATAATCCGTTCTGAGAATTCGGTCATCACCTGATTTGGTCCTTACCAGAGGTGTGGAAGGGAAAATTGGCATGGAACAGCAAATCGCTGCAGCTGTGTTTGATTGCCATCGAAGCACCCATTCACAACTAGAGGTAAGAAATTTTGGTTGTCACCTGTTTGTGACCAGAGGTTCCATCAGAGGTATTTGTCTCTCTGGCCACTAGATGAGACTAGAGAGCAACAACAGTATATAAAAGTTTTATGCTGGGCATGACACTCCCTGTCTGGTACAAACTGATACCACTATTTCTGAGATGGTAGCCTCAGGTGAGCTGCCAGTGCTTTTTTGCTGATATGGTTGTCAATGAGGTGGTGCCACTGCAGTTTCTGATGAGGTTTCTGGGAACCTGACAGCAATCTAAGTCTGGAATATAATATCCCACTGCTAGTTTCTCCCTTAGAATTGCTGAGGTCATTTGATATATATCCAACACCATTCTGTTGAATAGATACTGTAGGAGACATTGCAAAAGACTGGTTCAATTGCTTTGTGAAGTTTGCTGTTGTTTGTGGCATGGCTGTAGGCTGCTGTGCCATTTGAGCTATGGTGTTGTCCACAGGTTCTGAGGTATGAATGCCATAGATCAGGGGGTCAAACTCAAGGCCTGTGGGCTGAATCCGGCCCGTGGGGCCAATTTGGAAATATCAAGGGACTGGCTCGCAATGCCTTTGGAGGCTAAAATGGGCCATGTGCAACTCCCGTGCCATGTTTTCACCCTCCATGGCCTTCTGCAGCACTCTTCTGGCTCAAAATGGGCCCAAAATGGGATACAAATGGACTGAAATGGGTTGTAAAACAGGCCAAAATTAGCTGGAAAACGGGTCTAAAATGGGTTGTAAAATGGGCCAAAACCAGCTGAAAAAACAGGCTGAAAATGGCCAAGAAAAGGCTGAAAACAGGCCCAAAATGGGCTGTAAAACAGGTAGAAAATAGCTGAGACAGTGTGAATATGAGCCCATAACAAGCCAAAAATGGGCCAAAAAGCTGGCTGAAAAATGGGCCAAAATATGCCAAAAACAGCTCAAAAAAGGACCAAAAATCCATCCCGCTGCCCCGCAGAGGAGAACTATAATGCTGATGCAGCCCTCCAAAAAATCCAGTTTGACACTCGTCATATATGGACTTTGGGGACTGGCAAGGAGCAGGCTATAGCTTGTTCTTTATTGTTAGGTAGGTGTCATCTCTGTGGTCTCAAGGGAAGAGGGGTGACCTGGTTGTCACTATCTTCTTTGACTAATCCTTGCTCTGTCTTTCCTAAAGGGAGTTTGTCCTTAGTAGATGTTTCCACCTGATTGTTATCTTCCATTTTTTGGAACACTGTGCACCTTAAATGACCTTGGTAACTGTCACAGGTCATGACAGGAGGAGCTGTGAAGGGACAAAGCAAATGGCTGATATGCGGTGATTCCTTTAAGAGGATTTGGTTTCAGAAAAAAACTATCCTGTAATCTGCAACTCTTACACTGCAAAAACATATGGACGACACAACTCGACCAGGGCAAAG